TTAAACAGAAGACCCTTGTATAAAATATCACACTTGTCATCTCCACAGAAAACAAGAAACAGCCCTGCTCCAAATGACTGACTTATGTGAAAGCCTACATTAATAACTTTCATTCTCTCGAACCATTTTTGCTGGTTCTACAGCACTAATTAAATAAATCTCAGAGGTCACAAGGTAAGGATGAAATTCTCAGTAATTAATCTGCTCAAATTGTAACTCAGGCTGATATTCCTGATGTTACCAACAGATCCTGCAGCCAGCTTAAAATGCAGATATAAAAATAAATATTCCAGCACCTGCCAAGCTATAACCAACACTTCCCTGGCACTGTGATGCCCCAGGAACTGCCAGCTGAGGAACCAAGTGCTCAGTGTGGTGGCTGTGTGAGAGTCCAGCACATGCAGGAAAAAGGGCAAAAAAACAAAGAGAAAAGCTTTTGACCTTTGCTCTGAGCTGAACCATGAATCAGCAAAACCAGCCAGAAGTTTCTGTACTCTCCAACAAGCACCTCAGCACATTTTAAGGCAGTTGTACTCATCATACCTCATGCCTGTGTGGTCAGAGAGGAGAATTCTCCTGCCTTACTCACAGCTGGTTTGACACATCCACACCAGGGCAGCAGCCACTCTTTGGATCCAGAATTACACACATGCTACCAAAGGGGAATAATATGGGAATTATGGCTCCACCAAGGCCTTCAAAGGCACAGATAAGACTGAATCCTGGGATCTAACCTTGCTGTTTTCTCAGGTCTGCACGCAGCAGTCAGGAAGAAAGGGAGAAAGGCACTCACAGGGAATAGAGGCAAGGAAATGTGCAGTGAGGAAGTTAAACCAGAAGGCACCAGAAGCCCCTTGAAAGACCAAAAGTTGATCTCAGCCTTGCAAAGGACTGGACCTGCTAATGAGAAAAGACTTGAGCACTGCCCTTAATCAGCTTTCTGAGGGCTAGAAATCATCCCTGTCATTAGTCTGCTCGGGCCCAGCAGTTTATTCCTCCCTGCCTCTGGTGCTAACCTCTGGGAATCTCTCCTTCCCAGCACCAGAAATCGTCTCTGCACAGCCCATGCTGTCATCTGAAACATCTGCTCCTCGGGCTTAATGAGACTGAATCAGCTTCCAAAATGGACAAGGCACGGTGTCAAGAAATTAAACCTTTAAGCTGCTGACGAGGGCAGCCTCTTGCTCCCATTACCAGGAGCAATCCTGCCTCACCTGACAGCTCTGCTCACTCCTTCCCCTCTCTCCCCAAGCAGATTCCTCCTTCCCTGGCTGGCCTGCATCTTCTCTCCCCAGGAACCAAGTGGAGCTGCAGCCAGAGCCAACAGCAAGGGGCTTCAGCATGGTGACAGGGAGAAGCAGCTCCATTTTCTGCTCAAGAAGCTGTGCCCAGGCTCCTCTAGCTCAGAACTTGTGTGGGCTGAGACCTCTGCTCGCTGTCTGTCTGCTGGGGTGATGATTTGAAAGACAAATTGTCCCACAAGTGAACTGTATTGTCATTTATGGAGCTCCCTCCTGTAAAGAGGCTGATAAATAAAGAGGGAAAACAACAGAAAGCCCTGGTTTTCATCCCTGACACAGCTCTGCTGTTCCCCTGAGACCCTCACCTGAGTCTCAAGATGGGAGAAACCTGCCTGCCCCTCTGCCAAGCCCATGCCAGGACATGCTCAGCTCCTCTGCAGCTCACTCTGCTCCACCACATCTCCCTTGTCCTTGAGGGAATGCAGCTGGAAAGCAAATCCTCAGCACCAGCAGGTGAGCACAGCTTGTCACCCTCAGGAAAACAGGGGCTCACTTGTCCAGCAAGAACCTTGAGCCCTTCCCACCAGGGGAAAAGTGCAGGGAAACGGGGTCTCTGCCCCTCTTTCATTTCTGCTCCACTAGGACACACAAATGCAAGGGGAAGGGTGGCACAGGGGGGGCATTCCCACCTCATTTTGAAGTTGAGGAGGTGAAACATATTTACCTTTATTGGAAGGGTAGGAATTAAGGATTATGTGTGTATGAGATGCCTGTTGCAATTCCTCCAAGAGGAAGGAGGAGAAATCCCACTTCATGCCTCCTCCCAGAGGGCAGGTAAGGAGAAATGAAATATAAAGCACAAAATCATCATTTCCCTAGTGCAGAGGACAAGGGTCACAGAGGGACAACCCTTGCTTCCATCATTCCTCACTGAAGATGAGGATCAAAGACACATCTGTGGGGAGGAGTGAGTGGACAAACATCTGATGTTTCCACTCTGCTCCTTCTGGAGGAAAGGTGTGCAGGGAGGGAACAGGGAGAGTGCTGAAGGCAAACACCCACCCTCACTCACCCTCTGCCTGGGGAAAGCAGAGCATGAGAAGGTTCTCTGCCACCTTCCCTCCCACTTTCTTCCACACATGCCAAGAACCGAGCAGATGCCCAGACCTCCCTTTTCCAAGTCTCTGGTGCCAGGTGCATGTCCCAGATCGTGTCCTTCATGCTTGTGTGCAGGGGGAGCTGAGAAGGGGAAGATGCTCAGTTCCCTGTGCCGCTGGAGGTGCCTGATGTGCTCAGATGACTGGGGGTACCGCTCATCCTCGGGCAGGGGGATGCCCCAGTCGTTTCCCTCCCAAGTGTCCCTGAGCCTCGGAAAGGGAATATCCACTCCCTCCTCGCTCAGGTACCTGATGGAAATGCGCACCGCGAGTCCTCTCTCTCTGGATGATTTATCCTAAATCCCTTATACAGGAACACACCGGCAGTAAGAGTGACCGGGGCACCAAAGGCCACCCGGTGTCTCACCCGGTGTCCCCGCG